CAACTTTCGCACCTATCTCTGCAGAAGTTAATGCTTGCGATCTGATTCCCTGGTGCTTTTCCACCAAGCCTCCGCATGGTGCCCCATCGCTTGCAGCAGAGAGTGCTGAAAACAAGGTGGTGACAGAAACGGCATCAACGTCATGTCGCTGCAGTTGAAGTCGCTAGGGCAGTTCTTTCCAATCACACCTTTCCACTTTTCAGTCTTTGCTCTGATGTGCGCACTGAAATCGTCCACCATAATCAATACTATGGCTTCAATAGTCGACACTTCGCATAGAGCACATTTTGCTACTCCAGAAAAGACGTCTGCTGTCCTTTTGACTTGGGTGCATAGACCTGTAACAAGATCAAAGCCTTAGACTATTGCAACTCCAGTTGGAAGATCGCCACTCATCCGCCAACAAGCTTCCATTCAATGATTCTGCTAGCCTGGATTTTTGTTCTACCAAAACGGCAGCACCTCTCTGAGTGCGTATCTTTGAGTCGAAACCTGAGCAGGTAGGCTTCCATCTGAGGATGGTCAGGATTCTAAAGCAGTGGCGCTTCGTTGACGATAGTCCAGCCATATCGAGTTTGACCTTGCGGCCAAGTGAACTGACCCATGCTGTTTCCCTCGGAGTCACAAAATGTTTCAGTGTGCGACACTAAAACTAAACTCCCACTGCCCATGTAGTTCGTTCCCGTAAAATCTTGTCTAATTTGCAAAGGGGGCGCTGCATTGTCTGCCTGTTCCATTCAGAACGGGTAGCTGTTTCGTTGCTGAGTAGTTTTTTCCTTGCTTTAGTGTCGATCCTCAGCAGCCGTTACCGTGCTGCTACGCTCGGTGGAGGTGTAGAGCAGATTCGGATCGCTGACCTCGGAGTCCTTTGATAACCCAGAAAACGACCTAGCAAGTATATCATTCGATGAAGGCAATACCATGAGCGGCAGGCGACTGTTTAACGTGAGATTTCGCCATCGTTCTTAAGCCACCTCCTCTCTCCTCCGGAGTTGAGACCTGTAGCTGTGTAGCTGGTTATAACTTCATTTAGAATTTTTTCCATGTGGCTACTGTAGTGATGTTTAGTTCCATATGATATGAGGGTTTGCACATTGCTGTCAATGACCATCAGCTGAATTAGCTGCCCGTTTTAGACCTAGAAGGAGCGAGGCTATGAGCGATGCAAGAATGTAATGCATTGTAATATGTCGCAAAGTGTTTAAGGTGTACAAAGCATAAGGCATCACTGTATTGCTCTATATGCTCTCCTGATCAGCGTTTGCGAATAATGCATGGTTGAATCTGAAGATAAACACAACAGTTGGTGAACTAACTCATTAATGCAAGAGTTGGATTATTCCTTGGAGATGGCAGTAATTCTATTCTCATATCTGTGAAAATATTGACCCTATCTGCAATCGTGGGCACTGGAAACTGAAGAAAAGAGTTCGTTACAAGATGTGAGGAAAAAAAACGAGATTTCTTAGAAGCGTATTTTGGTAGTCAGAGGTTCGGGAAGTTTCAAACGTGCTTCACCTCTTCGACATCGAAAGAGAACAGTTAAGAGGGTGGTGGTTTGTGACCATACTACCAAAAAGTGATTTGCACGGCAGGGCGTCAAACGGCAGAACGAAGATCAAGAAACTGGATAGTAATGAGTACGTAGCCTCATCTCGTTTGGGAATCCATCCGCAGAGGTTCCCTCAATTGCGGAGGGCTGATGGAATTTGTTCTGCCCTTGGCCACGCCAGTTGCTGTCGTGCAACTCACCATCGGACCACTGAAATGTTTCACGAAGCTGCTATCCAGGCAAACTGTAGGGAACGACCATCTTCGAAAATGAATGAACGCACGGCAGATTGAACCAATAAATTAACGAATGAATCAGTGAACGCCCGAATGAGTGCATCAAATAATGATCGAACGAATGAACATGCAAAGAAAAAACGGTTGAGCTAATGTCGCATCGCGGCAGTTGGCTGTTGCACGCAATACATTTTAGTTTCGGTCGAATTACATAACGAGGAATGAGAGAAAAACGGTTTTAGGGAGGACACACTTGTTGCCTATAAGTTACAAACGACGGAACTGAGTGCTATCGCAAAACATAACCACTGGATAACCGCTAGGAATTGGAACTGACCTGAGAGCGGATCAGAGATATGTGTGCCGTTTAGTTTTTCACGCCAGAGGTATGGATTGACATCCATGCGCAGCTTAAAACTTTTCCTCTTGACCGCAAATTCCTCTGAGCAAGGAAATCGCTTCGCTTTGTTGGGGGGAACCAGGCAAGAATCAGACAACAAATTAATCACCTGCAAGCAATCTAGATACAGCTAGATTCTGGAGCAGTCAAAGCATGCGAAAATTATGGCCTACTGTTGATGTTCGCGCTGAGTACACAATACAGCTTGACCTCCCTGATAGCTGACAGAAATCAGTACAAAGTTTAACTCGCAGATAAAATAACTAATAACTAAATAGATAAACTAATGATTACATTTACTAACAAAATATTCAAAACTGCTCTTTTAACAAAACGGGCATTCTTCGCATACTGCACTTCTAATCATGGCAAAGACAAATCGATCTTGCAGTGTAGCACCCTGAAAGGAAGAGCATGTAAAAAAACTGGCCCTACATCCGGAGGAAATGTGGTGATGTGTTTTTGCTA